CCCCCCCCCCCCCCCCCCCGATTCCAGGCTCTTGCAGCTCTTACAGCTTTGCCACTCCTGCAAGCTGCCTCCTGTGCTCATGGCCTGGAACTGAGGAGCCCTTTGAAAAGCCTCAAATCCCGCAGACTGAGCACCAGTACATTGCCTATCTGGCTATGAGTGTGGAGACTATCTTAGTCGCTACAACAGCAACAACGGCAGCAGCCACCGCAAAGACGTACCACGGCTGCTGCTACTGCCGCTCCTGGCCCTCCTCCTCTTCCTCCTGCTCCTGCTACTGCTACTGCTGCTGCTCCTGTCTACTACTACTACTACTACTACTACTACTACTACTCTTGCTGCAGTTCCATTTTACATCTCCTACATCCATCCCAGTCTGTAGCCCCGTAGACTCCAAAGCAAGTTCTGGTACACGTCAACTCTTCGAGTATGGTGTACCCTACATGCAGATACCAGAAGCTTATGTAGCTGTCATGGCTACGTAGCCGCAAGGACACTCGGTACCGCTAAGGGTCGCACAACTTCTCGCAGACAGCTATAGCCAGTGATCTAGACCGCTCTGCATGCGATGCGGTGTTTTGCTTTTGATTGGTACCCGCCGTCATCGGTATCTGTTGCAGAAAAATATGCCATCATGGGAAATGGGAAGCAAGGCGAGACAAGTCCTGTCCTGTCTCTGGCTCTGTATGCATATCTCTAAACTATCTAAACCAAACCCCAACCATTCCAATCGCCTCAGCACACGACATCACGAGATCTTGCGCACAGAGAAGGCGTTCCCAAACCTGGTCTATCAGAAACTGCCTCCAAAGCGGGTGGTTCGAGGTTTAGGGGTCAGGGGTCCGGTCTCTGGGTTTCGGGCTTTGCCAGCGAAGGCCCGGCCAGATTACAGCACCCGGTGTCCCCAGAAGGGCGTGGAAACTCTGTACTTGGAGGATCATGGGACTTAGTAAGTAAGGGTTTAGGGTTTAGGGTTTAGGGTTTAGGGTTTAGGGTTTGGAGGATCATGGGACTTAGTAAGTAAGTTTATAAGTCCCTTAATTGGGGTTATAAGTCTAGTTACCCTAATTATGACCCTACTCACTAAGTCCCACGATCCTCCAAGTAGGGCCAGGGAACCCTTAAGGCAATTCGTCCCTGAGCCCTCTGAAGGTGCGCGAGCAGCCTGCTCCCAGAACAGCCTCCTCGATGGGTTTAGGGCTATATACTTGGAGGTTCGTGGGTAGTTATAAGTAGGGTTATAAGTACCCTAATATGGATAATAATTGTAGTTACCCTACTTATAACTCCACTTCGAACTACCCATGAACCTCCAAGTAAGCATGGTTAGGGTTCGGTGTTCAGGGTGGGTCGGCCTGTTGCCAAAGTCGAAGCCGCCAAGCTATCTGGCTCCTTTGTTTAGTCATAGCTTTCCTCATGCCTGTGTCCAATCACGTTTTCCATCAACGCGGTGGGCGCTGTAAGGTGCTGGAAGAAGACGAAACAGTGCAGTGCAGCGCGGAGCGACTGGCCGGATGGAGGTGCAAACAAGAGCAAGCAAGAAGCAGAAGGCATCACCATATCCAGGTGCAGCAGTCAAATCTCCAGAAGGCCAAGAGTGAAGTCAGCGAGTTTCTGCATAGCCGTGGCATTCCCAGCGACAGCTTCGATGTCAATGTGGCAAAGAAGTCCTGTTGGGGGCTGTGCCGAACTTATCCGCTTCATCTCGCCGCAAAAGAGAGAGACTGGCACATGGTACGCTTGCTCCTTTTCTTCGGTGCAGACCCCATGCAGCGGGACAGCCGTGGACGGACTCCGTATGACTACATGGGACCGCTCATTCGAGCAGAAGAAGAAGGCTTTGATTCGCCACGATCTCTTTTTCGTTAAGATGTTAGAGCGTTCGGCTCCGAATTAGTATTGAGCTGTGGCACATCTCAAGATTTCGAGAGCAAGGCATTGTTACGGGGTAGAGAGAGCAAGTTAGTTTGGCAAAGTTGGTTGAGACACACAGGACCATGATGTGATATGCAACGTCTGCCCTCTGCCCCTTGAGGCCACAAGTGCAGGCACAGACGCGGCATCAAAGCATTCCAACTGCCACAGCCACACTTCCCGTGAGTTTTTTTGTGCCAAGCAAGCAGTCCCAAAGCAGCATCCGCCATCGCTGTGCCACATGGGTGGCACCTGCCTCTCTCTAGTTCGTACAGGTACAGGTGGATGTTGACATGTTTGCATTTGCCTTATCATACCGAACCAACGCAGCTGCCAGCACTGTGGCTGATGGCGTTGCTGAATCAACGGAAGATATGTTGAGAACCGGTGTACTGCCATGGAAAGGC